ACAAACTACTCTTTATGTCCGACATTTTCTCTAGCCTGAGACTGGTTAGGGCTTGTATAGTTTGCCTGAAGGTAGATTTGCTTCTGACTTGGAGCATCCAGCTCCATAACAATCTCATCCCTGTGTCCACTCCTAGGTAAATAAATGTAGTGATGACTTCCAATCCGGTAGGCACAGCATAAATTTGAGATTCCTCCTTTCAAGTGGAGGTAAAACTGATTCGTGGCTTTGGCTAAGTGCGGTTGAATTGGAAAGTGAGGGGTTGCAGATCTGTCTCTTAAATATTTAGATCAATGATTTGCAACCCTCCATGGATATCGAGAATCACCTGGGGTGGGCAGACTTGAAAACACTGAAGTCTGAATCCCACCTCTAGAGACTATGATTTAATTGGTCTGGACTGTGTGGGCTGACCGCTGGGAGTGGTGAAAGCTCCCTAGATGATTCTAATAGCAAAGCGTGAGAATCGTTGACTAGACTGGTGGTCCTGGAGCCTGAGGGTGCTGCCAGAATCCCCTGGAGGGCTTATTAAAACCTACTGTAGGGACCCTCCTCCAGAGCTGCTGGCTCCGTGTTCAACAGATGTAGGGGGACCCTGGGAGTTGACAGTCTCAAATATTCATTGCTGCTGTCGCTGCATCTGCGTCTGCTGGTGGTGGTGGTGCAAGGTACCCACGGTGCAGAGCCACGGAGGACTGATAACCTTGTGTTCTATCCTCTGGTGAAGGGCTTCAGAAGAGAACAGTCAAAGCAGCCCTTTGAGAAGCAGCAGAACAGACAGAACTCCGTCTCCCGAGACACTGTTATGGAGTCTTGTTTGTTTTCACTTTTTGAGACAGGATCTCACTTTGTAACACAGGCTGGCCTTGAACTTGTAATTCTCTCACCTCAGCATCCTGCACGCTGGGATAGCACACCTGTGCCACCACGTCTGGCACACTATCATGTTTTTTTCACTTTAGGAGGCAGCAGCTGCTGAAGCGCTTGGTTGGGATCCCGAGCGCGAGCATCGGCCCTTCATCTTGTGGCCTGGAGACATCAACCTCTCTTCTTCCATCCTGTCCATTAGCGCTGTTATTTGCTGCGATTTTCCCCGGCTGTGTGAGTTACAGAGTGCTGACTCTGTAGCTGCATTCAATATCTGGAACTTCCAGGACAGAGAGGAGGGAGCTTTGGGTCTCTGACTCCGGAGACTAGAGTCTGGTGGATGATAATGCAGAGGCAGCCCTGGGGTGCACATGGAAGAGGAGCAGCCAGAGTCACTCTGGGTCCAAACATCCTATGTTTGAAGCCAGATGGCCTTCAGATGTCTGAGCAGCTACGAGGAGATGGGCTGTGTGGTGGTGGGGAACTGTCTGGAAATATGTGTTTCTGTATTATCTGAATGATTGGCTTGAACAGTCTGTGGTATAGCAAAAAGATAATTTAATTACCTTGAGTTTACTGAGGAAAAACACCTCATTCTACATACCGTCTGCTTTGGCAGGTAAAAGTTTCTCAGAATCTTCAACAACAAAAGCAACAATAATGATGATGATGATGATGATGATGATGATGATGATGATGATGATAATGATGAGAATAACTCACAAGAACATTGACCCAGCCTGGCCCAGGCCCAGTACTCCACACTTTCCACGGGTTGACTCACCCATGCAGGAGGGATTTTATTATTCCTATTGAATAGATGACCAAGCTGAGGTGTGAGGTCAGGTGACTCACTCTATGTTGCCTGTGTCACATGCGCGTGTTGGTTGGGTCTTAGTGCTTGGGAGTCAGCTTGGGAGGAAGCCTGGTGATGGTTCAGGGGAAGGAGGCTCGCTCTTCTCAAAGTCTATAGTTAGGTTCTGTGGGCTGAGAGCCCTTCCTGACCCAGGCGTAATTAGGTCAAGTGTGCTCACTGAATAGCACTCCCTCTGGGGCTCCTAACACAGTGATGCTTGGTTCCCTTTAGGCAAGAGAGTGCATCTCCCCACCTTCTGCCTTTGCAGCCACACCTCTCCGCCAGGCCACCCAGGTACTTTTATGATGGCAAAGCCCCTTCTCCCATCATGCATCTTTCCTAAAGCAGCCCTTCCACAAGCCTCTCAGGTACCCCCCACAACCCCGACCCACCTCCTAAGGAATCTAATGGCTGCTTGGCTGAAAGGACACAAGGGATATGCTTGCTTCCTCTAAACCTCTCAGCCACCTCAGTCATAAATGCCCTCCCCCTGCCCCTTTCTTACCAATCACCGTCCCTGTGCCTGTGTGATACAGGAGAAAATAAAGACCAGGAATCTGGTCAAGCCAAGGTCTAGTCCAGCTCCAGCAAATGTCAACTGTGAAACTGTTACTAACGGTTCTAAGCAATGGCTGTGGCATCAGGTGGAGCTGGGCTCACAGCTTCGCAGTGCCTGACTCTCCAGTCGCCAACCTGTAAACTGGGGCCACTCATTCTGATTTGCTCTTGTTACTGGGAGGAACCAGTAACTGTCCACCCGGGCTAACCATCCTCCCTGACCCAGAGAACAAGATTCAATTAGTGTTAATTAGGGCAACTATTGTTCTGATGGCTCCCTTCCCTGGCCTCAGTTTCCCAGGCGATGGGGCAGCTTAGTGTCAGAGACTTTTCCAGCTCTGTCATCCTCTGACTCATGGCTGCCCCTGACTCATCCCCATCTCTGCTCCCTTATCATCACTCTCCATGAAGAAACTCCCCTCCTTCCTTTTGTCCTCAGACCATCGCCCCATCATCTCTCCCCCCCCCCCGGGGGGGGGGAGGTCAAATATTTCAAACCAGTCAGCCCCCTTTGTGGCACCATCACTTTGAGTCAGATTGCCTCGGATTTCTGAGGCACCAGAAGAGTAGGTAGTGGATATGAATAACCATTACATTGGGGAGGGCTTTTTCTTCTCTCTCTGACTGATGACAGCTAAATTACTGCTAAATATAGGCCCCAAATTTGCATGAATCTGCAGCTTGCCACAGCCAGGCTGGGGGTTTTATTGACAGCTGAGGCACTGGAGGCAGGCAGGCACCTGCTCGTACACCTCTTCCCCAGGAAGCTCCAAGCGGAGTCAGGCGAAGCGTGCCCCTCCATCAACTCCTCTCCAAGCCATGCACTCCTCTCTCCAAGCCTCCAGTTCTGTTGGTCCTGATGAAGGAGGCTTGGGCTGTGTGTTTGAATTCTTCATCTATTTTCTAGCTGCAGGATCCTGAGTGAGCTACCTGACTGCTCTCTCATCCTTCTCCAGCCTCAGTTTCCTCACCGGTACAGTGGGCACAGAACACAGAATGGCTGACCTCATCTCACATAAGCAGAAGTTCTGGGCTGTGCTGATCCAAGTTTCTGACTTGTCACACTAACATGTTGAAGGATTTGTTCTGAGGTTATTGGTTCCAAACCCTGAATGACAGCTCTAACTGTAGAATCACATCACGGTCAAGTTCAAAGCAGGGGGAAATGAGACAGCTTTCTTTGTTGCCTAGCCCCTCCTTCTCTAAGGAGCCTGAGCTTATGTAGATGTAACAGTGAGATGTCCCATTTACGGCTCCCACCGTGGTCACATGGGTAGCAGTATTTATTGAGTATTCACAACACGGCAGGCATCTCTCTGCATAACTTCACATGGGTTAATATTCTCCAGGAGCCCATGAAATAGGTACTAGTTCCAAGCTGCAGACAGCTTAAAATACTTGCCTAGGGCTACTCAAAGGGTAACTCTCAGAGCTGGGATTTGAACCCAGATGGCCAGGCTCAGCTGTAGCTAGGATTTGATAGTTGTGTTCATGTGATCAGGCTTATAGTATGGCTGGGTGAAAGATGAGAAACTGAACTGCAGACAGGACTCATGAAGCACACTAACACACCTAAAACTGAAGTGAACTTTGAATACTATGAGGAAGAAGGGTGGGCGGTATGGAGGCATAAACCAGGGGCGTCTTAGCCATTCTCTCAATAGGTATTGGAGATTAAGACAGAATGCACCCAACTCAAGCTGCATGACTCGGTGTCTTTTTCTTTATAATTTATTTATTTTTATTTTATATGAATATATGTCTTCCTGCATGTATGTCTGTGTGAGGGTGTCAGATCTTGGAGTTACAGACAGGTGTGAACGGCCATGTGGGTGCTGGGAATTGAACCTATGTCCTCTGGAAGAGCAGTCAGTGCTTTTAACCACTGAGTCATCTCTCCAGCCCCAGGGACTTGCTGTTTTAAACAGCTTGTGTTCATTTCCTACCATCCCAGAGGCTGGTAAGTCCACAATTAAGGCGCTGAGAAGGTACACTTCAATTGGAGTCTTGATATGTTGGCCTTTAGAAGTCACCAAAGCACAGTGTACTCACATGATCTCTTTGGTGTGGAGAGAGAGGGGTGGAGGGAGAAAGAGAGGAGTGTCTCTATAAGGACACTAGTCCCATCACTAGGGACCCACCCTTATGACCTCTTTAACCCTAATTAGCCCCCAGTAGCTTCATCTTTAAATACCTTTACTTTAGATATTAGAGAATCAGCATATGAATTGATAGAGTCCTCAATTCACAGTCACTGCTAAGTGCCCTTTTCAAAGCAGATGAGCTTGCATCTCTCTTCCTCCTCCTCTAATTACTGATTCAATTCTTTATTTTTGATGTGGAATATGAGGCTAAGCTCAAGAGACCATGGTCGACTCAGGGAGAGAAGACAAGAAACAGTTAAGTCACGACTCACAGTAGCATTTGTTCAAGGGCCAAGTGCCTGGGCTCATTCAGGGCTGTGCCAGATGGGACAGCAGGTCCAGCATCTCCTGTCAATCACCGTGGCCAATCTGCCGAACTTCCAGGTCTTTCCTAGGCTGAGCTGCAGCGCAGCAGATCACAGTTAACTTGGGGACAGGTTTTTGGACGTCCTGGGCTAGACCATTTAAGGATAGAAAAATCTCAGCTGGCAGAACCAGTTTTGGAGAGAGATGATTTTTCTGGGGTTGGGGAAAGCTGGACTAAATGTGGATGAGGATCTGGCTTCAAGACTGTGACATCATCAGTAGATATTTAGGGAGAGATCCTAGCAAGGGGAGACAGTGCTCATGGACGGGGAGACAACACACACGCTATCAGGCCAGGCCAGCCTGTCTCCAGGACGTCAGCTGGCAGAGTGGTAGGTGAGCTGGTATTCCAGTGAAGGCTGCAAAGAGACAACATTATCAAATCAGGAACACGAGCATTAAGAATCAGCTGCTTGGAGGGCCCAGTTGCTACGTGGAAGAAGCCAGAACAAGGGTGGAAATGTGTTCAGCTGTCTGGATCTCATGCTGCCCATCGAGAGAACGAGCAAGCTAGCCAGCAAAAGAGCCAACAAGCGCTGAGTCCATGTCTCTGCCAAGGACTGTGGTTGTTGTGGTTACGGAAATGCCATGTGAAAGGCCATAAAACAAGATATCGCTGTGGTGTGACTGAAGGTGTCAATGCAGGGCAAACGGCAAGGGGGCAGGATGACACAATGATTTGGCTCTCAGAGCCTTGTTTGCATTCTAGACCTACATGACCGTGATCTTGGACAATGGCTGTAACCCCCCATATGTCATTTCTTCCTTGACTGGTTAATAAAGACCATTGAGGATTATAGACCTTCAGATGCAAAGCACCCACAGTGGCTGCACAGAGGGAGGGTTCTGCGTAGCTGCTTCTTCCAGACGGAAACATTCCCTTCTGGAAGGAGCAGGGAGGGTCTTGAAATTCCCAAGAAAGGCATGGGACTCCTGAGGCCCCTCTTCAAGCAGTAAACAATTGCTGGGCAAGAGGAGACTTTTCCTCAAGCTGCATAGATGATCCTAAGAAGGTAGTTTTCACAGGCTGTAGCCCATGCTGGCTGGCATGGGGTTTATGGTAATGTAGCTGCCCCAGAGTCTTCCTGATGCCAGGAAGTATCCCCAGTAAACTGGTTGGTTCAGCACCCTGGAGTTAGATGCAATTGGTTTTGGGGATGGTGTTAGGTCCTTTTTGGGGTGAGTCTCCCCAGAAGTCACACAACAGAGGGAGACCCTGGGCACTGTGGTTTTGCATCTCTAAAGTAAGAGCTGGAAGGTCGCTTCTGTCCCTTGGGATCTCCTCCTATCAGCATCCATTCCCAGCTTGGGGAAGACGGTGATGGTGACGTAGGGAGCAGCCCTCGGAGTCGTTCCTTCCCGGAAGATGACTTGGTGGCCAGCTGTAGAGATAGATCTTCCAATCCCAACTTCCTCTAGTTACTAATGTCCCCAAGACCTCTTCAGGGAGGACCCAGCTCATGGCCTTCCGGATTTGACTCAGGGAGGAATGTTGAAGCCTCTGATCCTACTCTGTCTGCCTCATACCATCCAACTGACATCCAGGCTTGGCTTCTAGAGGCATTTCTGAGGGTTCCTGGAAGTGCCGCAATTCTATCTCTGGGGGTGCTTCTGGACTGAGATCAGCCCCATCCCCGCCCCCTAGAGCCCAGGAGCAGAAAGTCTGTCCTAGAAGCATCAGTGGGTTAGCAGCATGAGCCTTGAGTTAGATGGAGTCACTGCCCAACTCTCTCTGAGGCATCTTCCTGTCATGTTTTCATACCCACCCACTCCTCCTAATCCCCCAAGGGCTTTCTGTTTTCCTCCTGGGTCCTCAAACCCCTCAACCAAAGACGAGCTCACCAACCTCTGGTTCTCCTCTGCCAGCCATTTTCCATCTCACATGCATTTATCTCTGTTCATCCTTCCAGGAGGAACTCCTCCAAGATTCTGAACTCACAGAGCCAGTCTTCTCACCCCCACTTAGAACTTGGATTCCCTAATCATGGCTGGCTTCCTTGACTCTAGCCCTGCCTGCTGTAGATGCATCTCTGCTGGCTCCTTCTCTGTGTCGCTGCATGCCACTGTCATCTTCTCTTCGGGGCCAGCCATCAGCCAGCCTCTGCTCAGCTGTGTGAGTGTGGGGGCTGGGGGATTGAATGCATGCAATGCAGATAACAGACTTGGATGTGAAACACTGCATTGTGTAAGGGCATGCTCAGAGCTTTCCTCTAGTGGTCTATGACCCATCAAAATGTCATGGCCCAGTAGACAAGGGACTTTTTTTGGAGACTGGAGAGATGGCTCCATGGTCAAGAGCACTTGTTGTCTTTCAAATGAATGGTGTTCAATTCCCAGAACCCACTTTAGGTGACTCACAACTACCTGTAACTGTAGTTCCAGGGGAATCTGATGCCCTCTTCTGGCCTCCGTGAGCACTGCATGCACATGGTGCGCATGCATTCCTGTAGGCACACACACACACACACACACACACACACACACACACACATCTTTAAAATAGTAGTTGGTTGTCGCTGTTACAGAGCTAAAGATTGAGCTCTGGGCTTCACACATGCTAGGCAAGGGATCCACAACCGACAACTCACTGAGCTGCCTCTCCACCCCTGAGAATCCTCCTCAGTATCCAGCTGTAAATGCACACCTTTGAGGTCAAAGGGAGGCTGGTGTCCTTCATCACTGTGTTCCCATCCCAGTGCCTGACATGAGGTTGGTCCTCACTGAGTGTGAAACTGGGTGTGGTGGTACACACCCATGACCCCAGCACTTTGAAGGCTAAGGTAGGAGGGTGTGACAAGCATGATGCTGGCCTGGGCCACATAACAGGTCTGTCTCAAAAGGAAAGGCTAAAACAAAAACGAAGTATCATTGGTTGAACCAAGGGTCTGTGAACAGAGAGCACAAACTGTCCAGTGGAGAAGACACGTTCAGCCACGAAAGGTTCCTTGCTCATAAGACACTCATAGGCTGGTTTATTTGTGTGGATTAAACCCAGGTCCTTTCAGTGTGTCCCTCTGGTTTGGGTTTGGGTCGGGGAGGCTTGCAAAGAATTCATTCTACCTCTTGGGCCCTGTTCTGGTTTCATTTCTGTGGCTACGATAAAAACACCCCAGCCAAAAGCAACATTAGGGAGGAGACAGTTTGTTTGGATTGTAATTCCTGTTTATAATCCATCATTAAAGGGAGGTCAAGGCAGGAAACCTCAAGGCAGGCCCCATGGCTAATCCACAGCATTATCCTGACCAAGGAACTCACTGTACAGTCTCAGAAGTGGGGCAGGGACCACGGAGGCTGCTGCATGCTGCGTGGCATCAGGTTCATGCACAGCTAGCTTTTTATAGCTCAGGACTCCCTGCCTAGGGAATAGTGCTGCCCACAGTGGGCTGGGCTCTCTTATATCAATTAACAACCAAGACAATCCTCCACAGACATGCCTACAGGACAACCTGATGCAGGCAATTTCTCAAGTGAGACTCTCCCCAAACGATTCTAGGCTGTGCCGAATGGACAGTTACAGCGAACCAGGACGGACCCCTTGCTGCGTCATGTCAATGGCACAGGCTTCACCTCTTCACCTCTGCCAGCCTCAGTGGCGTTTGCTGTGCCCAGCCAGGACCCTCCCAAAAGGAGCTGCTGGGGAAGCAGGTGCCATTTCCATCTTCAGAGAGATCAACCTGTTACAGGCCTCTGTTCCTACAATGACCCATAGTTCTCTTAATAGAACAAAGGAGATAAAAACAAGGGAGAGCTTTGATTCTCAGAGAAACTGGCTGCCTTAATGCATGCACCAGTAAGGTGATGCCCAAAGAGAGCTGCTGCGGATTCTACACCCAGAGCCAGCTCCAAGCTCCCCTAAACTCTCAGCCAAATGCTCCTCTTGCTAGCCTCTACAGCCTCCTCCTCATCTCTCATCTAGAGTTCTGTAACCCTGAGGGCCTGATGAGTCCCACATGCACCTACCCCTTCTTTTACATATTTCAGTGGCTGGGGCCACTTTCTGCTTGGCTGAGGCATAGGATTGCCTGAAAGGTCGACCTTGAACCTCCTGCATATGTGCTCTGCTCTGGCCATGTATCAGACATCCCAGTTTCTCATGCAATTATGGCAATACTTACCATGTGTCCTCTGGAGCCAAACCAGGGTTCAAATCCCAGATCTGCCACTACCTAGTTGTGTTTTGTTGGGCAAATTATTTGTCTATGTCTCTATTTCATACGTATGTTATGAGCCTGTTGTGTTTGAAGTTGCGGTGAAGTATCTAGTTCAGTGGTAGGTAACTGTTAGCTATGACCATTGCTGATTCCATCCAGGGTTCCCTGCCATCACTTCAACCACCTTATCTGAGTCAACAGCTGTCCCTATGGAGACATGACCCAGGTTACTATCTGTGCACAAGGAATGGTCCCTGGCTAAGGGGGGCACCTTCATGGTGTCTGATGATGCTACCAGCAAATCCATCCCAAGAGTCAGTTGCTGCTGGGTAGCACGGATCAGGAGTTAGAGTCGTCTTCTGGGCTTGGCCCTCTGGGTTCACATCTCAGCTCTGCTGCTTCCCCAACACCAAGATCCTTCTCCTTTGTTTGACTCAGTTTCTTTATCAGCAAAAGAGGGTGAGGACAGCCACCAAAGCCCTTCCTGAGAATTCTGTAATGGATGCGAAGCATGGCGCCTGGTGTTCACTATGTCATTGTTAGTGGCAATGTTAGCTGATATTTATTGAGCACTCCATGTGTGCCAGGCGCTGATTCAAGTGCTTTTAGATATATTAATTCATTTAATCTTCACAGCCACCCTACGAAATAGATACACTTTCTTCCCTTTTTACTGTTGCCAAAGCTAAAGCCCGGAGAAGTTCAAGGAGGCTTGCTGGTGACTCAGATTGGCAGCTGGGGGCTGCTACACACACCACCTGCCACCTCAGGGGTGTTGCGGGCTGTAGGATGTAGTGACGGCTGCATCAGTTCTCCGGTTGTGTTGGAGTTTGTGATGTATCTCAACAAGACACGAGACCATCTGGAGCCACCCTTATCCAACGAGCCTAGGCCAGCCTTTGGGATGCAGATTGGCATGTGTAGGAGGGGAGAGGGAAAGAAAATGACCCCTAGCAGAGATGGGCTGTTAAATGTACCATGTCAGAGCCACTGACCACACTCCCAGGCTGGTGGCTGACCAGGGCACAGCAGCTGTTGGCGCCATCTCCTAAGAGTATCTGGCAGAAGGAATCTGCTATTGCAACTTGCAGTGACCCAAACTGCTGTTGAAAGGGAAGGAATGGGCAGTGCAGGGGCTACAGTGAGGTCATAGATACCATGGCATGGCCTGGGCTCCCTGGTCTAGCCTCTGACTCATAGGATATATA